TGTATGATACCTGCTTGTACTTGTATGAGGAATGCATACGGCGCTACAGTCCCCGCAACACCGTGAGCTACTTGCCGTACGGTTGGTAGGGGCAAATTTACCTGTACTCGAGTACTGTACTATTACGGTACAGTACAGTAACGTATTGAAGATCTTGCAAATCCTGGATTACGCATACCGGTAGCCATCATATTATCATGCTTGTATGATACTGTAGGAGTTGAGCAGAGCAGAGCAGAGCGCTTTGCCCTATGCATCTGCTATACCGTACCGTGATACTGTTTCATCCATTCATTCATCTATCCGTCCATCCACTGTACGAGTACGGTACGGAACTGTACGGGACCGTACAGTACTGTACAGCATCTACCCTACCTGTCAATCAATCAATCAATCTCCAAATCCGTACTGTACCGTACTACAGCATCGTGTCATTAAGGCCGCAGTTAGGTAGCAGAGAAGAAAGAAAGAAAAGAAGAAAAAAGAAAAAACAAGGAAACAAGGTTATCACGCATAAATGATGACTGTGATCGGAAACCGTTCTCAGCTGAAAGAGACACACGCGCGGTGGGTACCGGTACATACAATACAAAGAGGTATTATCTGGGGAAATTAATAATCATGCCTGCATACCTACCTACCTACCTACCTACCCACCGTGTGATACGGTACCATATTCGTTCACAGCAGAGAGCGGTGGCTTTTTTTTTTTGTTTCCTGGTTCCTTTGTTCGTGTTGTGTCGTACGGTACATATCCGCGAGTGCCAGCTTACGACAGGAAGTATCATACGGTAGTCGAGGCGAAACACGCGTTGGGCTTGGTCGTCATGGTACTCGTACGGAACGGTACGAATCACCTTACCTGAGAGTTGTCTACTGGTACGGCACGCCATTCTGAATGGGAAAGGAAGGGAAGAAAGGTGAGGTAAGGTGGGCCAGCATTTAGCACTTGCAATCTGATATTTTTTCTTTTCTTTCTCTCTGCCTTCTTTTCATATCCCTGTTAGGCCCCCCCCCCGGTACCTGCTCGAGTGCTCGTCCCGGTACATGTACTCGAGTACTAGTACTCGAGTAGAGCACACTCGCTACGCTGTCATAGGCTCAGAGTTCAACGCGTATGGTTCGGCAGCGGACTTGCTACCCTTTACCCGCGTGTGGTGATAATACCGGTTATCGAGGATATCCGAAAGGGTAAGTACCGTAAGCGTCGTTACCCGAATGGAAAAAATATGTCACTTTTCCATCCTGCTTTTGCATCTTTCAGCGGTGCCCGTACTCGCACTGCACCGCAGCGTACCTCGCGCCACGTGAGTTGGCGTTGGGTGGGTTGGCTGGTTGGGAGGAAGAGGGGAAGAAAAAAAAAAAAGGGTGTAGACTTGTGAGTACTAGCCGTTTTTTTAAGTCTCCGGAATGGCTCAGTGTAAGGTATCCTGCCGTGGGGTAAGTGTTGCCTTGGCAAATGTGTAAGTTGTTGATTACGGGTATATTTTCTCGCATGTAACATTCCTCTCCGGCAACCAACTACAACTATGGCAGCTGCGAATCACCTAAAAGGTAAGCAC